AACTTTCGGATCTGTGGACGTACACTACTCACCGCACAGGCGTTGCATAACCGGGTCACGTAGCGCAGCGAAAGCACTACCAGACCGCTCGCTGCGGTGTAAAACCGAATAGTAATTGATGTACCGAGGATATTTTTACAATGTCAGGCATCTGAAGCAGTCAGACAAAAAAAGAATAGCGCAAATTTTTCGGCATTATCCGACTGCTCGATTTGTTCTAACGATTACTCACAGTTCTTCACGGCTTTCTTCGATATCTGATGCAGAAGCTTAATTTGTATCGTTCTTGTTACTTTATCACATTGTCCCATAACCGTTAAAATTTATTTCAGTTTCCTCTGTCACCTCTGTTTTAGTATGACACTACATTACATTGACGGAGAATATCAGTTAGTAAAAAGCAAGGTTGCAGTAGCTGATCATGATTATGCGCAATGCATCGATGTAATGCTGATGTTTAAGTTCCATTGACCTTCGGCCTGCTTAAATGGGCCTGGTAGTGTTTTTGGAGCAGCGAGAGAGAAGAGCAACTTCTGTAAACTGGACTTATGAAATAATAGATCTTTTATATAGCGAATATTACCAGAAGAATAATTAATGACCAAAAGAAGATACCAAAGAAAACGAGGTTTATGGTTTTCTACTATACTAGATAGTAGATGATACGTTTGATCTAGTTTTAAAACGGGTATCTGAAATTAAGATTATCTCCATTTGCGCGATTACCTCTACAGAAAGGAAGCTGATCAGGCTGCTCCTCAACGAGATTAGGCGATGATCATTGACTAGCACAGAGTAAAAGAATCTATCCATTTAATTAACAGTTGCTGATATATACGTCATTAAATAATACATTCATCTTTAGCTGCTTTTCTATCGTAATCAGGTTTTTTGTCTTCTATATTCAATAATTTCTAATGATGTGTAAGGATATTGAAGACGAAGAGGTTGCCCATGATGGAGGTGAATTCACTCCAGAGCAGACTGAATGGCATCCATTGAAAACCATATTCGATAGAGTCATGGTGCATAATTTTCGAATATCGGTAGATATGCCAAAAAATTATTTGCAAAAATAAACAGTAATATCTACTGAAATTCCACCTTTTGCCGCCATTGTTTGATTTAAAAATGAAACTGGTTGTTTTAGGAGAAAAAATTTGAAGATAACCAAAAATAACGCGACGAAAAATAATTCACAGTCTTTTGCAAATAATGCAAAAGATCTCACAGAATTGGTTGGAAGAATGCTTTTTTTGGATACTTAATAATTTTTTTATTTTATACGAGTAATTATTTAAATTGTGGTAATTGTTGTTTTGCACAGTTATGCTGATTGATTGCAATGCATTTTTACAGTCTTTTACCGAAGATTTTATTAAGTCGTGGTATTTCGATGATCATGTAGTTTTGTCGAATTTCGTCTGAAAGAATGTCTTTTATTTGAACGTATTTCTATGCTCTTATGTGTTGTTCTGAACCTTTTCGATTGTTTTTCTGACATCCCATTAAAACGTCCGCCAGGATGTCAGGGCATCACGGTTGTTTTGACTTGCTGCAGTCTTTCCACATCCTCTTCTACCGTATGTTGTAAAGTGATGGTATGTCCAGAATACTTATGATGCCAAAGAAAACATAGTTGCATCGACAAACTCGTTAAATTTGTGACGTATGTTTGTCAGCATTGCCGGCGCTACCAAAACTAGATATGGACTGATCAAAGATTTAATTACTTTTTAAGGGCTAAGGAAAACGATCATTTCACAGTCTGAGCATAGTATGCTGAAGAACATTTCTGTCAGTTCATTATCATTGTGTACGCAGAATTTTACGCGGTAAATTGTTATTTTAGTGAAAGCTGAATGCTCTTCCCTCAGGTTATTTATCTAGGAAAATTTTGATTCGTAATGCTGTAATGCTTTCTTAATCCCAGCAGTCAGGTAATAACAAACTAAACTTCAACACCTTTATCTCGTGTTTCTTGCGGTAGGCAGCCGATTGTATCTTCTGTTTGTCTGTAGATCAGTAACGCATTCAATTTACTGTATCTGATGCTCGGACCAACTTCGAAGAATGTGCAAAAATGAGATATTGATAATAATTCTTGTATTGTTAAAGAAGTGCGCAATGAAGATGTTACTTAGTCCCCCAAAGATGAATTGTTCGTTCTGCAATAAACTACTGTGTTATTAACTTCATCTAGTTCTTTTTGAGTAGCATGTTGCTATTCCCTTAGGTCGGTAACTTTAAGGGTTTTTGTACATCCTCGGATTAGCATTTTTTATTTTTCCATAATATAGCACGTTCCTTGTACTTGCTAATTATGTAATTAGGTCGAGCTAAAGTTGTAAAAGTTTTAATGTTCGTGATTTTACATTTAAATCTCTGACGTTAACCAAAAAATGTCGTACGAAATCTTTCAGAAATTCACGTGCTGTTGACACGGATTTTGCCATTTACTGTCTATCTAAAGAGGATATTATGGATCATACTCTAATTCTCTAGGTATAAATCGCTGTTGCAGATTAAATACTTAAATCATATTTAATAAGATTTACTTTGTATTAACCGTAAACACCACAGAATGTTATGATGTAACAGTGAATCAAAACCAAGGCTACTGCTACTAATGGAAAAGTAGCAATACTTCTGAGTAATACAGTGCTATTGCTGCAGTAAATCTATTGCTGCTGTGCATATGTTTATATATAAGTAAATATGGTGGTAAGCTAGGATGACCTTCAGTTCTTAAATTGAATTACGTAGATTTGGACTTGGACAAATTATACTAAGAAAATTTGGAGGACGTTAAATCATTCAACTGCAGATTGGTAAAGGAGATTTCAATCAAAGCAGAAGAAATGAAATTGGCGATTGACGCACGGGAAAGGACAAATTTTAGCTTTCTGCTGTCATTAGGGATAAACTTGAGGTTTTGAAATGAGGAAGATTTCTATAGAAAACTATTTAAAGAT